TCTGTTATCCCCCCCCATGTGGTCCCTGTCTTTGTAAGCGACCTCGCTTGGATTATGCTGTTTGAACGAGCTGGATGACGTATGTTACGAGGGCAATATGGGGCTATTCTGTTGGCTTGATATACGGGGGACAAGGACTACGGTTTGAGGCCTGGACACGGTCAGACTGGGGCACCGGCTGCTGGCCAATACAGGACAAAGGGCCCTGACTACGACACAGGATGGTCTATGGCGGTGCTTCACAGACGAATGAAAGTCGGCGACAGGGGGTTTTGTATTATTAAATGGCTTCTTCGGCCCGGTTGTCAAAGACAGGTCACGATTATGACCACAGGCAGCAAAAGAGTACGAGAGACATGGGTGTATCTTAGTTGATGTGTACTTTACAAACAAAGCAGGGCTGTAAACCCGGTCCCACTCGGGGGTCCACCCCCAACCGGAACCGGGAAGGTGGGACTGGCCGCTCCACCGGGCCGGTTGCCCCCTGGTCGGCTATAGCGCATAGCCAAAATCTGGCCGATTCAATTTTTTTGGGGGCCAGGAGGCCCCCATGCGGGTTGTGGGGCCCTCCTGGCCCTAAAAAAAATTGAAATGGGTCCGGTAGCGAAGCCTCCAAGTTTTGAAAAGGGCTGCCTCTCTGGACCGCTGATCTCGAAAGATCGGCGGCCCAGATGAGGCCTCCCTTTTCGAAACTTGGAGCTGCCGTTCCCTCCCGCCTACGACTTCCCGCCTCCCCCCGACTCACCTGCCGTTCCGTCAACAAGCCAACGCCCCCGTTGTCGTCGGCCGTCACTGTCGTCATCATCATCGTCGTCGTCATCATCGTCGTCATCGTCATGCAGCGAAGCCAGCCCCCCCACCCGCCTTCTTCTCCTTCTCCTTCTCCTTCTCCTTCTTACGTTCTATGGAAGTGTAGGCGCGCGAGTAGGCGCGTGGTACACACACACACACACACACACAGAGAGAGAGAGAGAGAGAGAGAGAGAGAGAGAGAGAGAGAGAGAGTAGGCGCACGGTAGAGAGAGAGTGAGAGAGGGAGGGAGAGTAGGCGCGCGGTGGTTCATGGGTGCGGTGCGGTGCGGCAGAGAGAGAGAGAGAGAGAG